GTGTGTGTGTGTGTGTGTGTGTGTGTGTGTGTGTGTGTGTGTGTGTGTGTGTGTGTGTACGTGTGTGTGTGTGTGTTTGTGTGAGAAAAAGACGGGGAGCAAATCGTTTTCGATGTACCAGAAGAGATATTTATACTAACACAGGTCGCTGACTAAATGTTATCAGTGGTCACGTGTGAAAAATGTGAAAGTCAACATTTGAATATATTTTGAATTTTTAAACTAAGTTGGCCTAGTTTGTTCAGAATAGCCGACACCAGATGACAGCTGACAGTGCTTTTATTGTTGTGCCCTTTAAATTCCATACCGATGGCGGCATATCACACGCTTGTCACCAGTTCAAGTACATGGTACCTTTCGTAACCCCTGTTAATTGTTTTAAAAAATCATGATAATTGTTATCATGAACCCTATAGTCTAGAGAACAACAGCATACACACATACATTGAGGCGATCTTTAATTAGTATCATTGAAGTACCCACTTGAAAGATATGTTTCTCCATTTTGATATGGTCCCTGATACACATATAATATCGAAGTCTACTGTTGAATGAGTAGATGTCTCAAAACATAATTAAATTGGTCCTTCAAATTAATAAAATCCCTGTTTCAAAACAACAGCAAAGGATATCACTCTGGGAGCCGAAAATATCATTTTTGTAACGCACGAGTAAGGCGTTATTCANGGGGGGGGTGTTCTAGGGGTCAATTTACAACTTTCTTTCATAGGTATTAGTTTTTCAATTTATTTTCAATTTTCAATTTTCAATTTCAAAACAGTAAAAAAATGTGTAAAGAGAGACAAAATAAACTTAATGATATATCCTACAATATAGTAACAGGGTATACAAATATTTATTTATTTCACAATATACAATCTGATTTCCAAACATATATATTTTTTCTTGTGTCGGCAGATCCATAGTGACAACAGCTGTTATATTTAGTATACGCAATCAACCAATTTAATTCACCATTGAGTTGCAAAATTAATGTATAAACGGTTTTACCCCTCAAAGTGAATATTATTTTCAACTTTGAATACAAAGTATCAATGTAGCTATATAGAGTGTGTGTACGTGTTATTAGGGAGATGGATTGTGGAAGTATCACGTAGGAGAGGTGGTGTAATGCGATAATGAGTGCAAATGTCAATTGCGATTGGAGGTGTTAGAGATAAAGGCTTACCTTGAAAATGAAAGTGAAGGAATTACCTTAAAGGAAGTCTTATACGAGAGAGGGAGTTTACGCGCGAACCTGTAGGATGGATGAAAGAATTTCGTGGGGAAAGGGTAAGTTAGGGGATAGATGTTAAGTTTTAAGTAGTTAACGTGTTAGTTTCGTTGAAAGTAACAGGTACACAGAGTGTAAGTCTTCTGGGAAAGAGAAAGCTATTAGGTTTAAGAACAGTTGAACTGATTATTTGTATTACATTGTGTGTTACGCATTAAAGGATCATCAACACAGAAGAGGTCATAAGGACACAAAGAAAGACGGTATAACAAGAAAGAGCGAATGACAAAAAAGGGTAACACATATACGTCAAAGTGAAAAGTGTCCAAAAACATACTTTTGTATATTAACATTTTTTTCCCGGTTACATTGGGTCACAAGACGCGAAGAGAAAAAATATGTAAGCGTTACTTTAGGCGGAATATAGTTATGCTATATAACGGGTTGTGTTAAGAACCTTTGAGACGTGTATCAGATCTGAAAAAGGAGAAACACTCGATCAACAATCAAGGTTGCAACCGGCTGTCAAGGTTACACAGGTAACACTGAGGACAGTATTTTGTCTTGAACAACCTCAATGTATCGCAATATCCAGAGTATACAACACAATGTATTGCGTCTGTCAAATCCAATTTGTAACGAAATCTCATTCACGGTGTGCATCGGATTTAATGCTGTTCGCACGTTTAAAATATATTCGAAAATGCTCAGAGTCAAAAAAAAAAAATTATCTTTACATCAAAAGTCAAATATTTCCCCTAATATAACATATATCGTCATTTCCTGCATACTACTTGCCCTGTTGGATAGCCAATGGGAGTTGAAATATAGGTTTTTTGGAGAGAAAAAAATACAAAATAGCCAGCTGGGTCAGATTGCCTGCAAATACAGTGATAAATTGAATCGTCCTATGTAATGAAAAGGTAGGTATAGATTAGCCGATCTATTATCGTTGCTTGAAAAATCTAAATACCTTCGGAGATACATTAGTAACTGATATTGTGTCTGACCTTCAATTCTGGATGCACTTGGAATTTATACTGTTTCTTGCTTTTTATTTGCTTTCTTCTGTAGTCCACGCGCAAACATGAGAACTACTAAAGTATAACCGACATTTTATTAATGCAAATTAAAACCAAATAGCCCCCTTCACCAGGTAGCACGCAAAAGGAATTTCCGGATGAACAAAAAAGTGTAGCCCACAGGATTTACACTGTAAATTATGGTACATAAGATATGTGTTATATGACAATAATGTGCGCGTTATATTTCCTACAAACCTAGAGCAGTGATGGAGAAGAAGGAGAATATCCAGTGATCCACCTCGGGGATCGTGAAGAAGAAAATACCTGCTGTTACTAACTGCATGTTCGTAAGAAGCGGCCATTGTAGGAACTCTCTGCAAAAGTGGGAATCTGCTTTTGTGCCCTCTTCTTATAGACAAGAAAGCGACCAAAATAAATCCGCTGTACCAATCGCAGTATTTCGGGTCTTTATATTTCATTCTTCTTATGACTACCGTTTGTTTCCTAGCGCTGTTAGGTGTTTCACAATCAGGTGCGCAGCGACATGATATATTGATTTTATATAAAGATTTGTCAAAATGGCTGATTAATTGACGATCAATATTTTATACACGGGAAAACAAGCAAACCGACATGCGTGTTCCAGAAAAAGTACCACAGGTCAATATCTGTGGTTTTTGTCCTGAATATAGACTACACGCACCTATTTATTTTAGTCGTGATATGTGCTGAGCAATCCATATAAACATGGAGTTCATCAAGTGTTATCTACTGTATCTAGCAGCCGTCAGTATAAGGTCGATTCCCAATGACATAGACCAAAGATAATATATCTTTCACGAGAGTTCAGGCCAAGATGGAGGTCCTGTATTTAACAATTCTTTTAGGCGTATTGGTTACTCCGACATTTGCAACAAGTGAGTTTATATTTATTTTATTTTCAATTGTCTTGCATTATAATTATCTTAATTGTAGTGTGTTTATACCGTAGAGAATAATTTTGTGTCGTGTAATATGTTAAAGAACGAATAATATATTCAGGTGATTAAGTAATTAAATAATAATAAGGCTGCATGTTCAGAAAATAATAGCAAATAATTGAAAGAATACCTTATTTACTTGTTTTGCCTGTTATTTCAAACAAATTAGGAACCTAAAAGGGTAGGTGATTTTGCTGATTGTCCTAACATTTCTATCCGTCTTTCTTCTCAATTGACTTCCGGATGTTTTTTCCGATATTACTTTCTCAAAACTGATGACATTTATATAAGTATTGATATTGATATAAGTATGTTGATATCCATTTTTTAAATGGTCAGCAATCATGGCCACCGTGGCCACTAACTGATTGCCATATATATGGCTGTACGCCAAGGTCATGCCAATTTTCCCCCTTAATTCTGATTTTGCTGTTACTTTGTAAATAGTTGTATATTGGCATCTACATGTGCATTTATTTGGGAAACCTCTGTTACTACCAGAAATTAATTAGAACTTAATTTTTTCTTTCTATTAAAAACCATATCTGATTGTGAAAAGTTCATGTAGGACAACCAATATCCCATGGGTATTCATTTTGGAAACCTCTGTAACTACCCGAAATGTGAGAGAAAGAATAAGAAAAAGGGCCCTTTTCGGTTCTCTGTTAATCTTGAATTAATCAGTAACGTCTACTTCACTCTTTACAACTCCCTTTTCATTCCGCAACGAAGTTTAAAGAGATAAAGTACATGTTTACGTATGTAGGTAAATATCTTAACTATTTTAAAGCCACTGACAATTTTATTTGTTTGAACAATTATTGTTAATTATTGTAAAACATTATCTATACTATATTGTATGATGTTTTCTAGCGGCGTGTGTCGCCACTCTGCATGGGGTCTGTGTTAGCCTATACGCTACGACAGTGTACTGCCCAATAGGTGAGTACAATGTTGAACCTTTACAGCTACATGCATGACCGTTTCCCGCCAAATCATTGCAATTCATGTTTTGTATGTTCGACCTTTGCTTTTTGGATTAGTTTTTATTTCTGATACAAGGCGATAAACAGAACGATTATGATAATCTAAAACAAGGTTGATCTTCCTTGAGTATATTAAATATGTCAGAAATCGTAAAGAGTGATTCATTAATATGGTAGCAATGTATTTAACGGAAAACAGGATTGTACACTGTAACGTTTACAAATTAAGGATTGAAATTTAACAATTGACGTTATTTACCAATTGATTGTTCATTGTATATCACCTCGTTTCATTTTTGTTTGTGTTTTTTTTCATTTTGATTCTTACTCTAATGCTGAATTGATCAAATTGGAGATATTTTAATTAACTGTTTTATCGTAATATTGCAAAATAAAAGTAATTTCTCACCAAAAATCACCATATAAACATACCTACCCGAATAGACAAGAGAATACATTCGAATACCAGGTCACCGGAAAACTTGCCATCTGCGTTGAAAATACGTCACACGAGTCAAACGTTTGCTTTTTATTAGACGTATAACCCGATCTTCTTGTATGCATTTATGTAGTCACTACGTCAATGAAATTATTGTGAACTTTAATTTATGTAACTGTGATATTTTACAGGGGATTCTTTCACAGTAAGTTTCTGTGGATTTATGCAAGGATGCTGCTATCCTACATATACAACTTCTGGTATCCATGGCAGTACCGGTACACAAGGTAGTACCGGAACACATGGCTCAACATCCGGTTCCCAAATTGGTTCTGGTACACCAGGCGCGTTATCCGGATCCGGAAGTAGGTCAACAAGTACATTATTTACATCAATTACACCGGTTAAGAAATTGTTATAGGTTTATATGTTATTTAATATTGTTGGAAATATTGTTCAAACAACCTTGTATCTACTCATCAGTATTCCGTCTTTGCGTATTGCAGAGTTATCTGCTCTTGAGAGCAGGTATTGCTTGTTACGTCATTGGTTTGTGTTAGAAAATTACGTCGTTTTCTCAAAAAATGATGACGTTTCTCTCACAATCATTTTTTGAGAAAACGACGTAATTTTCTAACACAAACCAATGACGTAACAATCAATACTTGCTCACAAGAGAAGATAAGTCTGCAATACGCAAAGATGGATTACTGATTGCACATACTGAATTAAGAGAGTTATATATGTTATGACCTCGTATGAATGGTTTTTTTTACTACATGTTTGGTATATGGGGTGTAACCTCCTATTAACAACTGAGGTCATTACCGATTCAGCATTATCTTGTCTTTCTAAAGCAGGATGTGATAATACGCGATAATTTTATTAGACAATTTTATTTGATACAACTTGATATTTGTCAAAAGCTAAATGTGGAATGAGTGAAGTACCTCACACAAAGATCGTTGGAGGAACTGTGGCTACTCCTGGCGAGTACCCCTGGCAAGTGTCACTCCGTTTTAATGGTCAACACATGTGTGGAGGTACCCTTATCAGTAACCAGTGGGTGCTGACTGCCACACACTGCTTCGAGGAGTAAGTCAATATTTCTACCTTTCTTTATATGTGATCGTTGAAACCGGTGTTTTGGGATCCTTTCAGCCACGTAATGGAATAGCTTACCATCTGGTGTAAGAAAGTCAAATACCCTGCCCAAATTTAAGAAAGACTTCAAAACTCACCTCTTCACGTCTGCATTATAGACTCTTTGCACAGACGTCATTATTAAAAACGGACAGTTGAAGTTTGATTAGTGTTATAGAAAAGGCTTGTTCACTATTTGTTAAAATTTTGATTTATTTATTGAATGAGCGTTCTATTCACAGCTATGTTCATTAAAGGACGTGCCGCTATTTATGTACAGTTCGCATGTATACTGGACTCATTATTTTTGTGTATTCACCTCCTTGCGATAACTCGAGTCTGATACCCTATCAAAAAACGTACCAAATCAACAAGTTATTTTACCATTTCTTCATCAGCATCAGAACAGAAAAAATTGCTGCTTTGAATATTCATACTATAATGAACTACTGTTGAGATATGTCATAGTGTGCATGATATTACTTAACTAACGTTCAAAACGCAGAAACTGTAATTAGTAATGTTACCTCTGTTACAGTACTGGTAGATCACATTGGACAGTAGCCACTGGTGTACACGATCGGGGTCACATCTATACTACACAGGTACACAGAGCAGTGAACGTTATCTCTCACCAAGGCTACGACAAGACAACTCACCACAACGACGCCACCTTAGTGAAGCTCGAGAAACCTATAGACATTACCAGTACCAACGTGAGAATAGCTTGCCTACCGGAGCCTCATCAAGTCTTCGATAACCAAATCTGCACAGCCACTGGTTGGGGAACGACATATCTAGGTATTCTTTCAGTTCTATTTTTGTTCTGTCTTACTCAAGAAATAAATATTCTACACTCATGTTAAGTCTTAGTTCTGTCTTCAAGGTAGGATTAGTTTTCCTGTTGGCTCTTGTTTAATTTTGTCCCTGCAAAGTATGTACGGATTAACCCCGTCAATTTAATCCAAATGTATCTATCATTTTAATTTATAAACCAGAAGCTGCTATCACCATTTAATGTCAATGCTACATGTTTTAAATGTCGTAATATTCACGCTGCTTCTTAAGCACAGTAATGCTTAACACGTGAAGCAACAATGCAAAAACCTGTCTTGACAGATATGCGTTCTCCTTCATTTAGATTGTTAATAGTAATAGTAGTAGTAAATGTTTAACGGCCCATCAACACAGGATGCATCTTTAGGGCCAACAACTAGTCGACATAAACAAATGCAAAATAAAAACCTCAAACAAACTTAAAGGTTAAAGATAAATGTCAATTGTAATATTAAAAGTGGCTATGGTGACTCAAATTGTATTTAAAATACCAACAGCTTTCAGTTAGCCTTAAGTTGTAGAGCCAGTTCTCTTTTCGAAAAGAGACGTATGACATGTAACGTTAGTGTATAAATTGTCTAGAGTTGACTGACTGTCGACACAATCGAATAGCAAGTGTTTTACTGTAAATGATTCCTGACACGTTATGCATTAAGGCTGATCTTGACGTTCCAGTAAATAGCAATGGGTTATGCATGAATATCCTATCCGGAGATGGGCAAGGACAACCTCGTCTCGGCGCCTCTCTCTGTAGCTAGGATAACATTAACCGATTTCAGGATACATAGAATGTAATTTGTATCTACCCATTGGTTACACAAAACTCCTGCCGAAAAAAATGTGAGAAAGAGGATATCAATTCTCGGAATGGACTTTTAAGTTGACAGGTTTTGCGAGTGTTAGCAACTTCGGAATCTTCCTCCATTTCACAGAGGTGAATGATTCTCTTTCTCTTATCATGTTTGACCTGCCATTACAAAAATGTCGAAATGACTGTTGATGTGACGTGACATGACATCCTATATTTATTACAACGCCCGAGTTACACGCAAATGTCTGAAATCTGGCTGCAGCCATTTTTTTATTGAAATGCTTTTTTTATTATTTCAAGGAGGACAAACAACACGTTACCTTGAGGAAATCGACCTACCTATCATTGCGAACTCACAGTGCCGATACATCATGGGTAATGCTGTGACGTCATCTAATATATGTGCAGGCTACACACGTGGACATGGAGTGTGCAAGGTAAAGATGGGTTCTGTCTCCAAAACGGGACATACCGATGTCCTTCATTTTGCTTTATTTTCATTTACTACTACAGGTTCAGCATTTCTGGTAATGACAACAACTCGGTAACACTTTGTCATTATAGTATCACCGGAATGAATGCCATGTTGGTGCTTTCAGTTCGGGATTTCCACTAGGTAGCACTATAAAGTCGGCACCTGATCTGCGCTATCGCAAAGACCCAAATACTAAACCATACCGCATTAAGCAGCATAGGCATACATGCATATCGTACACGCATTTAGACACGTCCTCATTGACCTTTGCTCGTCGTGGGACGTTGGACCCTATGATATTAATTTTTGAACAACAACATGCATGTTAAAATCTTGATCAATTATTTGTAAGTTGTTTTTCAAACAAGCTAAAATAACAAGAAAAAAATCTTAAGATAAAAGGAACAATCGAGTTAAAATGTATTGCTACCACTGTACAATTTTTTTTTTTTTTTTTTTTATTAAATTGCTTTCGAAAAGGATATTCCATGAAAACACATGTTGTTAACATAATAGCATTTGTCTAAAATTTGAATGTTTGAAAAAGGAAATAGCTATGAGGAATGACAATCTAATGTATGGGCCACAAAGTCTTGGAATGAAACATAGCAGGTGAATCTAAGCAACAACAAGTATTTTTTGGTTTCTTTAACCTCTATACAAAATGCATGTGCCTCACAAGTACCATAACCGAAATGTAAAGTGTCTCCCTTGCAACACTTGGGATCTTTCTCGTTTCCTATTAACCCTGCCTTCTTTCTTCGTTTTCTATCATCTTTCACTGGCTGTAGCGAGGACTTGTTAACCCCCGTAACAAACGCATCGTGTTTACATTTAGTGTTGAAATTGTTATCTTTTCAGGGCAGCAGGTTTCATTCTTAGTTTCTCGTTGGTTATCAATACATGTCCTAATGTTTTTGGGCTTTATTTTAGTCATGGAACAGTGTATTAATTTTAATATCATGTAACGTAACATATGTATTTAGAGAGAGATTCTAAAGGAAATGTGTTTTATCTAAAGAATCATTACGAAAGCCATACTGCAGATATTTACAATATCATATTGTGAAGTAAAACGCATATTTGCATTGTAAAAATAAAGGCAGCCATCTATCTATATATATATAAGGGGCCATTATGAGGTAAGTGTTGTTTTTTTAAATATTTACAGGGTGCTTCTGAATATTTAGGCTACAACCAAATGCCTAAATGAAATACTTTAAAACAAGTATTTTTTTCTTTTCTTTTCAGGGAGATTCAGGTGGACCACTAATATGTAAAGTAAATAATCACTGGACGCTGGCTGGTATCACGTCTTGGGGGTACGGATGCGCTGAGGCACACACCCCGGGGGTCTACACAAGAGCTTCCGCGTTCCTGGACTGGATACATACAACAATGCGTCTACATTAATCAGTATTTTCCTGTGCTTGGAATATTCATGATGAATAAATGTGAACATTTTTTATTGTTTTCGTCATTAATCTAGTAAATGATTATTTTTAGGATATCGTTAATATAAAACTTTAATTCAATTTAAATAAAATTAGTTCGGGTTACCGTTAGGGTTTAAAATCGAAACAAAACGGAAAAAAATATACAAATATGCCTATTTATATTACTGCGCTTATCATTAAATTATCTTTTACTGTCAAGTGGAGTCAATATTCATGGATATCTCTCGTTCAAGACAGTTACAGAAGCAATGCAGTGTAAGTACATGTATAGCATTCCTAGTCCAATATTAACAATGGTTCCCAATATTCTTCAACTTTTCCATGTCGGTTTTATATTGTGGGAAATATTCCTTCAAACATTTTATTGAAACGATAAACCATTTATAACCTTAAAATTAGAACGACCAATTACCTTCAAACAAGACATACTGTTTCCTGTCATTCTTCTGATTGAAACCCTGGTTTGGTTTGATTTTGGTTAAACGTCATAGTAACAGCTAATGTAATTTAAGGACGTGCCTCCATGTTAGTTGTGTATGCGTGCATATGTGTATGTGTGCTTGAGGCAGGGTATGTAGGTGTATGTGTGATAGCGCGGATCTGATGCCGACTTCATAGCGCTATCTCCGCCCGGTCACAGTATACTAACAACGGGTGAACCAGTTGTTTCCATTTCTCTAACTGCTGACCTTGAAGCAGGATATAACAACTATCATTTTAATTATCTTGGCATGTCCCGGCCAGGTGACAGAACCAATTGTCTTCCTCACCTGGGCGAACGTTCAACATCAAAGCCAAAAATGAGGTATAACCAGGCAAAGTACTGGGAAATAAAACGTAGTTAGAAGTATGGAGAAAGTCCCCAATATGTCAATGGGTGCAGAGTCACTGAAAGGAATTGCAAAATAAAGAATATTGAAGTTAAAATATTGAGTATTACTGTCCAATTTTATGAAAGACATAAGATCATTCCACTGAACTTTTTTTGTTAACTCTCCTTTTAGAATGTATTCTTAGTTCAAATCACGGTAATTCTCTTGTTTATGTTTATTAGTTTTTTATCTTCCAAACTACTAATATATATAGGGTAAATATAAAATGTACACCATCGTTAACACACATGTAATATTTGCACACAAGTGAAAAAAAAAACACTTTTGAAGTTTTAATAACAAACAACACTGGGTTTTCTCTCTCCTTGAATTTCGATCAATCAAAAGTCACTTAAACATAATTTACCGACAACCTATCTACAGACCGCCCCATAAACATCGCCGCGGAAGATAACATTTAGGGAAATACATTAACATTGTTATCCTAAATGCCTCCTTAACCAAATCCAAAAAAGATTCTCGACTCTGAAGGGGGCTCCATACTACTCGCCTCTAATATTCTGCAGGTATTATCGTGTCGTCTTTTCTACGTGCATTTCACCTGTACCTCGGTAGGTACGTATCTAAGTATACATCTATGACAAAATTGCATCGCAAATTTATTCAAATCGATATTTTATTTCAAAAAACAAATATATAAAATAGTTAGTATTGCCAACCACACGACGAAATATGTCAAGAAATGGCATTTTTTTCAAAAACAAGCAGGAGCAGCAGAGATCTTGCGATATCCTTAATTAAGTTAACCGTTTATATATCCTGTATAAATCCAAGAGAAATTTTAATAATGTTTTCATCAATTTAATTATATTTGCTTAAAAAAAATCATGTAAAATCTGTCACAATGGAATAACACTTACATAACACACTGAACAACTTTTTATTACCTTCACGTTGTAGCTGCGACAGTTAGGGTTCATACCTCTAGTAGGCCCTCTTTGTAAGATTGCTCTTGAATTAAACAAATGTTCGTTTCCACACAGTTCTTCAACACGACGGCAAATCTACATGCACACGAATTATATACAGTTACAACAACAACCACAAAATAATGTACCCGGGACATTCACGGCCCCTCCGGCCGAGGCTTTACATGGCTTCTCTCGCCAGAGGCTAACATTCCCGATCCTATAATCCCGACTCTACCCCCTACCCCCCCC